ATAGGCATCGTTTGAGGCTGTTCTGTTTTTCCCTGAACTGTGACTATCTAGCATTTGCACCGCCAGTAACTTGGTCTGAGCTCAGGTGGTTTTGACTGCGACACTGCTGGAGATTTTTCTTCAAGGGACTTTCACTCCACTTTACCCACTAGAAATTCTTCATTATCTTAGACTTAGGTTTATTTGTCATTTTGTTTAAACAAGTGTAAAACAAAAAGGAATTTCATTTGGAACAGCTCTCTGGACAGTTTCATCTTTTTTGAAAGTGCTTCTAAAATCTTCTAAATCTTCATAAAAAATCTAGACAAGAATTTCAGTCCTAAAGATTTAGCATTTAAAAATACTTGAATACAACGGTTCCAATGCTGCTGGATATGATCTATTTTCCAGATATCCTCAGTGAGGCAGAAAAAGGCTGTTTAAAAAAAAGGAAAATAGAAATGATATGTGTTTAATTTTTTTTTAAAATAACATTGTCTTTAATTTTAAGATTCAACTTTAGCTTTTTGGGGGTGGTATATCACACCATACACTGTATCTCACAAAACACTAGAAAACATCTTCTTTTTACTTAACCTGAATAATGATCCTGTGTCCTTTGTTTTCCAGGCATGCGGCCGTTTATTCCAGACAGAGACGTTGGGGCATTTGAGACGTTCCTTGAAAGCATCGGGATCCGAGAAGGTGGAATCTTAACCGACAGCTTTGGACGTATCAAACGAAGCATGAGCAACACCTCGGCCACAGCCATGAGAGGGTACGTGAAAATCTAAGTGAATATTGGAATTCCTGATTATTCCGATGGAAGAGATTTAAAGGTGCATCAAAATAAATTACAATAACATCCAATGTGTTATTTGTTTTCAATATTTTCATTCCGTGCTCATGTTATCTTAAATCATTTTTTTTTTAAAGGGTTCGATTAGAAATGTTATGTCTGATAATTTTTATGACTTATAGCAACTGAAAACACAAAATGGGGTTTCTCTAAAAAAAAGTTGATAAATTAATTACATTAATTATGGAAAGTTAAGTGGAGAGAAAACCTCTGTGTTTGAAAACCAATTCTACTCACCAAGTTTTAGCTTACATAAAAAAAAGAATTAGAGTTTTGGTTTTACCGTAATCTCAAAAAGTAAAGAAAAACATTTTTTTTAAATAGGTTATAGACATACCTTGCTATTGCAAGAGGGAAACACAAGGTACACAGGGAGAATTAAAGCCTTGTGCAGATTGTGAATGAAAGCTGTGAATGAAAGAGTGCCTTGAGGATTCAGTTTCAGTTTATTTAATTAGAAAATAACTTTAAAATTCCTACACACAAAAATGCATGCATCATCCCTGTAGATGTTGCACTTTAATAAAGAAAATGTTTTGGGGGTTTTATTCTTGATTTACCTATATGAAAGTTATACTATACCACAGAAAGTCAAACAAATTACCTTTTTTAAAAAGATATTCTCATGATATTAAGATGCACCTGTAGGCTTAAGTTAGTCCATCTATACCACTAAAAACTGTAAGCCAGCCTGTCAGAAAGTTAACGTCTATTCATCTCTCAGTAGGTACGACAATGGCTCCCTAGCAACAGGGTCTCAGGAATTTAATCGCCGCATCTCTGACATCACTCACGACATCCAAACGCTGGGCTTCCAGGACACACATGGTGACATAGAGGAGGAAGACTACTACCTCTGATGAAGCCCCAGAAGGAGAGACTTAAGCCCTGCTGGAACTGAGTGAGATTTTCTCTGATATAAGCGAGTTCCAGTGGGGCCAGGGGCCCAGAAGAGAAATGGCTCCTGCCAAACAACTGAAAACGGATTGGCTCCCTGAAATGGTAGCATTACTCTGTACACCAGAATAAACAAACCTATTCTTGTAGAACATCCAGTGATACAACTTTGTCTTTTTTTTTCCTTTGTAAAATCCAGCCATATATATAGGTATACACTACATAATTATAAAAAAAAAAAGCTAATTTCTCAGCTCTATGAATTTATATTGTTTAAAAGAGGTATATGGAAAACAAAGTGGAACCAAAATACCATTTGTGTTCGTAAACTTGGTGAACAATGCTTGCTAATGGTGATTTTAATGTTATTTTAGATGGAAATCTGTTCTGTGCGAGTAATACAGTGGAAGCTTTGAAACTGAGCTCTAAGGAAAGAAGAGCTTAAGGAGACCATGAGACAACCTGCATGGGAGAATCTTCCTTTGGAGCTTAAATCCAGTATCCAAAACACTAGCAGAAAATATTTCAAATTTAGGTGCGTTAATGTCAGAGCATTCCATTAGTGATTCAGAAAGCTGAGTGTTGCCTCTGTAACAGATTTATAGCCACCATTACTGCTAGCATTTACTAGTTGCTCTTTTAAAGCCCCCAAGTTGGGCTTTTAGCAATGCTTGGACTGATGCTATTGATGCCCCTTTTCTCACAGCTGCCATCTTGTGGCCAATGAGGTGAAGTCATCCTTTAAATTGATTAGTTTACCCATATTTTCCACAGAGCAGCAAGAGTTTACTCTTAATACCCTCAGAATCTTCATTTTACTCCAGCCCAGCTTCAGAAATTGACTTAAGTATTCTTGCTTGAGATACATTTAGACAGGGAGCCCTTCCCAGGGAATGGCTTTATGAACCATTGCTCAAGGTCAATGATCTGTCTGAACAGAAGCAAAGATCCAGGGTAAAAAAAAAAAAAACCACACTTGGGTTCAAGTACATTTTGCCAGCTTCAAAGCTTGTAACTGCATGTCATCCATTGTTGAAAATTAACAGCTGCTCTTTGGACCAACATCAAACCAGCATTACTGTGAGAATTCCACAGGTTAAGGTTACCAAGGAAATGTTACTACTTTGGATAACCGAATTAGCGTTACACACACAAACACAGAAGAATTCGTGCAGCCAGAAAATTTTATTGGGAACATTCAGAAATGATAGGGAATGCCTTTTTAATATTCCTCTCCTTCATCTTCTTCTCCCAAGCTATCAGCCCCAACCTCCTCATAATCCTTCTCCAGAGCTGCCATGTCCTCCCTGGCCTCGGAGAACTCTCCCTCCTCCATTCCCTCACCCACATACCAGTGGACGAAGGCACGCTTGGCGTACATCAGATCGAACTTGTGGTCCAGCCGAGCCCAGGCCTCTGC